CATAGAGGGTCCAGCTTTCGACTTTTGGTGCGTCCTCCACGAGTTCTGGGGCGAGCTCGACCATAAAGTCCGCTAAAACTTGTGCTTTCAGACTGGGACGAGAGCGGTACTCAATATCGTATTCGCTTAGTTCGATAGCCCATTTAGCCATTCTTCCTGACTGCACAGGGCTGTGTAGCACTGTCCGAAGTGGTTGATCGGTATAGATGATGATTGCGTGCGATTGAAAATACGGACGCAACTTCCGGGCGGCGACGATGACGGCCAAGGCGAACTTCTCTAACGTTGGGTAGCGTGTTTCGGCATCGTTCAAGGATTTGCTGACGTAGAGAACAGGCCTCTGATCGCCGCGATCGTCTCGGACTAAGACGCCGCTTACTGCTGTGCTAGAGACCGAAACGTAGAGGTATAAGACCTCGCCGTTCTCGGGTTTGACTAGGATGGGGTGGCTGGTCAGATATGTCTTCAACTCTTGGAAAGCCGCTTCGCATCGCTCGTCCCAATGAAAATCTCGATTTCCTCGGAGTAGTTGGTAGAAAGGAAGGCATCTGTCTGTCGACCTTGCGATGAAGCGATTGAGAGCTGCAATCCGACCTGTCAAACGTTGGACCTCGCGTTTGTTAGTTGGGGAAGGGAGCTCCAAAACCGCCGTTATCTGCTTTGGGTTGGCCTCGATCCCGCGTTCGGTCACGATGTACCCCAGAAACTCCCCGGATGTTACTCCAAATGTGCATTTAGTTGGGTTTAATTTCATCCGGTATTTGTTGAGCAGGTCGAAACATTGCGCGAGGTGATGGACGTGATCTTCTGCCGTTAACGACTTTACCAGCATGTCGTCAATATACACCTCCATTGTCCGTCCTAGGAGATCGGCGAACATTCGGTTTACGAGGCGTTGATAGGTTGCTCCCGCATTTTTCAAACCGAAGGGCATGACTTTATAGCAATATGTCCCCCTATCCGTAATGAAGGACGTTTTCTCGCGGTCAGCGACGTGCATCATGATCTGGTTATAACCTGAGAAGGCGTCCATAAATGATAACAACTGATTTCCCGAAGTTG